TCAAACCCACCAGTCACTCCTCAGAAGAAGGTTGGGCAACCTATTTCTGTAGTGATCCCACTTTGGAAACCCAAGGAGGGATTGCTATGAGTCAGGTCTGACTCGAGGGCAAATAACAACAACAACAACAACAACAACAACAACTAATTTGAAGGGAGCTCTGGTGGCAGAGTGCCAAAGACATTTGACTGCTAACCAGAACGCTAGCTGTTCAAACCCACCAGCCACTCCTCGGAAGGAAGACTGGGCAATCTACTTCTGTAGAGATATTGCCTTGGAAACCCAAGGAGGGCTCACTGTTGAGTTGGGAGTGACTTGAAGGCAGTGAGTTTGAACACACTCTGTGTCACCATGAAAAATGCAGCCAAGAAAACCCTAGGATTCTACTTGTAACACAAAGAGTTGCCAACTCTATGGCAATGGCTTTGGTTTTGGTTTTGAAATAGTTTTGCCTAAACTAAAACATAAGGGAAGTATCATTGGAGAGCCAATAAAGAAAGAAAAGAAAAAAGGAGGAGGGAGAATAATCAGACAGGTTTCACAGTGTTGGTGATAAACTAATGCTGTGGTGAAATGTCTTTAAGGCACAAACAAACCCATGAAAACGTGACAGCTAGTAACACTTCAGAAGAATCTTTAGGATTTAGAAGTTATTCATTGACTACATAGTGGAGGGAAGAGGGCAGAGAAATGCAGGAGAAACAAGACTGAAAAATAAGTGGCAGAAGGAATCAATAGAGTAACAGCCGGAGGTAGTTTGGATGAGGAAATATACTCTATCAAGTTGTTGTGTCAGTCCCAGTGAAGTCAAAAAGCAAAGTGGTATGGCAGAGTGCATGAGGAGAGATTCAGAGCTCATGCCTGAAAAGGAAAAAACCTGATGGATATCAGGGCAATCAGTCTGCACCACGTCTCCAGCAATTTTATGGAGTCAATTTAGCTCATCTGGTGACTTTATTGGTGATGACTTCCACTCTCTAGGCAGTGATCCAAGAAATAGGCAAAGGTTGAATAGTAGAATTTTAAAGAACTATTTATAATTCTTCCATTCTTCTCTTCACTGCAGTAGCAAAGATACCTACAGTGGGTGTAAGTTAAAGTTAGGGAGGATGACAGTCTCACTAAAATGTGAATGCCCGTTGATTAGGTACCTGGTTGCATCTGATATATTTTATATATCTATATCTATATCTATATATATATATATCAAGTAAAAGAAAAAAATAAGTGACCACTTAAGGTCATTTTTAGTTGTCTTTTTACCTCTTTAAGGAAAGAAATATTGGCTATTTACACTGTTATGTTTATGTGCACCAAGACACAACTTTGACAAAATCATTTCCGAATTTTCATCTTAGTAACACTAATCAGTTAAAGGAATTTAAAATGGATTATTAATATTGTTTCATGAAAATGAAAAATGAAAGGCTACAGATAATTTTCAAAGTCATAAACAGAGTTAGGAATCATTAATGTGCTTTCATGGAGACAAGACAAGCAATGGCCAGTATCTTCATCCACCGACTTCTGGGATCAATGGCATCTTGATTTATATCCTGAACTATCACAGCTACCATCAGAAGTCCATACTTCCCAGATCATTCATCATCATACAGGTGCTTAGCTACAGTTCTCTGTAAATCTTCTAATCTGACCCAAGCTCCTACACCTTCTCAAATCCTCCCACTAGGCCCCAGAGAAATATACAACAGTCATAAGAATGACTCATATTTAACTTACTATCTCATGTCTAACAGACATTTCAAACTCAGTAGGACCAAAACAGAAGTCTTGATCCACATACCTACATAAACATATTCATAAATCATTCTACTATCAAGCCTTCCTCATCTCAGTAAAGGACACCCTCACATATTCAGCTGGTTAGCCTAAAATCTAGGTTTCTACTCTCATTCCTATAGCAATAGGTTGTTGTTGTTGTTGTTGTTATGTGCTGTCAAGTCGGACCCAACTCATAGCGACCCCTCCTTGGGTTTCCAAGGCAGTATCACTACAGAAGTAGATTGCCCCATCTTCCTTCCGAGGAGTGGCTGGTGGGTTTGAACTGCCAGCCTTCTGGTTAGCAGTCAAGTGCCTTAGGCACTATGCTACCAGAGCTCCCAGAAATAGGTTAGCTAGCTCAATATTCAGATCATATCCTGATACTGATCATTTCTCACCACCTCCACTGCTACAAACCATAGTTCAAGCCTCTCTTCTCTAATCTTTGCCTCTGCATAGCTCTTTATCTTTGCCTCCTCTCTTGACCCCTACGGTCCATTCTCCACATAGTTGTCTGAGTGACCTTTGTATAGTGTCTGTTAGAATGTCTCATTCCCCTGTGGACAGCCTCCATCTAGAATGAAACTGAAACTCCCTGTCATACCTCCAAGCCCATATCTTCACAAGGTAGCCACATTCATCATTCAAATTGGAACTCCTCAAACAAATGCTGCTAAGGCAGCTCTGCAGTCACTGCCCATCCTATTACCTCATTTAATTCTCTACACCATATGTGGTGCCTGGCACATCTCATACATTTACCTTTTTAAACTATGTATCTACACACACTACCGTGTAAGCACTTTGAGAACAGGGACTCTTTCAAGTTCATTGTATGCCTTTATAGGCTACAATAGAAAGTTCTCAAAAATATTTTTGACTAGCTGACAATGAAATTGGAATTAAGTTTCTTAGACAGATTCTGGTTACAGATTTAGATGAATGACCTTAACAGTTTTCTTATCTTCAAGTGAAATTAGAGGACATCATCTCAAAGGTACCTGCTAGATGTAAAATACTATCATGTCATCATATACTTATTTCAGTTCTTTCCATTTCAATGATAAATTTAATATTGTGAGATGAAATAGGCTCATAGCGTTTGATCCCTCTAACACCACATTGTTTTCATTTTCCAGCCTCATCTTGTTTCCCTTACCTCACTTGACCTTATCTTTTCCTTGAACATCAGCATCATGGAAAGTTAAGTGCGATTTTAACCCCAACATGAAGATAAAGACTTGACCAAGATCACGTTTGAGATCTGACCAGTGTCACATCTAATTGCCTTTCTCATTCACTAATCTTATTTGAGGAAGGGGTTGTTGTTTTTAGGTGCTGTCACTTCAGGTCTGACTCACAGAGACCTTATGTACAACAGAACAAAACACTGCACAGTCCGATACCATCCTCACAGCTATTGCTATGTTTGAGCTCATTGGTGCTGCCACTGTGTCAATTCGTCTCATTGAGGATTTTCCGCTTTTTCACTGATGCTCTATTTTACCACACATGATATCCTCCTTCACAAACTGGTCCCTCCTGATAACATGTCCAAAGCACAATTAAAAAAAAAAAAAAAAAAAGTACGTGAGATAAAGTCTCATCATCCTTCTCTCTAAGGATCATTCTGGCCGTACTTCTTTCAAGGCAGATATGTTCATCCTTCTGGCAGTCCATGGTATATTTCATATTCTTCAGCAACTCCATAATTCAAGTGCATTAATTCTTCTTCAGTCTCCCTTACTCATTGGCTAGCATGAATAAGAAAGGAGCATATCTAAGTAAATCTCTATTAATGTTATTTTTGAAGGAAAAAAAAAGTAAATTGCACAAAGTCAACAGGAACATATTTTATTTACAACAAAAATCTACAAAGATCAAATTACTTACTGGAATTATGATATATTTGATACAAAAGATACCAACAGATTTGTTGCTGAAGATAAAATTCACAGTACAGCAAGGTACAGGGTCAAAGTTTTTGGCTGAATTAACTAACTCAATCCATTGCTTTGGGTTCATACCTCAGAGTCATATATAATTTTGATTTCCTATTAAGCCTTGAGTTAGATAATATGACACAGATGTGAACAATATGACTAGAGGTACATAGTAACTGAAATAAATTCACTGAAAATTTTATTACAATGTCTTCTAGGCTAAAATCACAAGCAAATATTTGTTACTGGTGAGAGAGAATTATATAGATTGGATTAATGCTGAAAATGCCTAAGAAAAAAAAAAACACATATATTCAAAATACTGTAAAGAATTATAAACACTTCAAAAATTTTTATTTTTCAAAACTAGAAATAAGAAAAATTTAAATTTAACTTACTTGATTACAGATAAAGAAAAATATTGGAATACAAAGCCAATGTGATTTTAGTGTGAAAAAGTGTCTTTTCACTCTTTATTCTCACCATCATATTGGTGAGTTGATAATCTACCTAATAGATGTTTTCACAATAGTAAGATTGCATTGTCATTGTTACGACACTGGAGAATACTTCCACACAGATACCAAGAAATATCTAAGTAAAAATGTTTGTCTACACGCCCTGGAGAGAACAATCAGGGGAGAAGGAAGGGCTGTTTATGCACAGGGAGACAGCTCAGGGGGCAGGAGAGTATGGAGGGATGGACACTGGGAAGAGGTAACTATGGGGAGGAAGTGGGAGGGGAGCTGTTGCATTGTGGTAAACTGTGGTCAATGACATGAGACAAAGTATATGTGAACTGCTGTATGGAAAGTGAATTTGCTCTGTAAATCTTCACCCAAATAAAAAAAAAAAAAGAAAAAAAACTGTTTGTCTAAATGTTATGATTGTTCAAATAGGCAAAAAATAAATTATTCTCACAGTTGTTACTTTAGATAATCTCTCACCTCTTTTGCTGTAAATTAATGCCGTTTATAGAGCATCAACAGTAACCTGCTCTTTCTGAATAGAAGTAATCTCCTTGCTTTACTGAATATCCTGAAAACAGATATATAATCCAACCATTCAAAAAATTTTATATTTCCTTTTATTGATATTTCTCTATCACCAAATATGATACTAATAGTCTCTCACACATTACACTTCTGACACTTTCATCAAGTGTCTGTTTCTCACTGAAAGAAAGATCTGCTTTTCCACATTGATGAAAATATTTACATATTCCCCAAGCACTACATCACATAAAGTGGATATTGGTTTCATTTCCCATTTATATTAAGAGTAATCCTCAAAGTATCTTGCCAGTTCACTGTGTTTCATTTTCTTTGTGAATAGTTCATCAAATACTCTCTTCTGCTTTGAAGTAAAGTAGTTTATCCAATCACCCACAGCTCCTGGAAATATCAGAAATAAATCAGACAAGAACCAATTTAAATATATAGTATTCATAAAAGAAATCTGTCAGGTACGTAATAATATGTGAACATTTTGTTATCTTATTTATTTATTTAACATTTTATTGTGCTTGAGGTAAAAGTTTGCACAGCAAATTGGTTTTCCCAACCAACATTCATACAGAAATGGCTGTGACATAGGTGGCAATCTTGGCAGTGTCAGCTGCACCCTCCCTATTTCCTCCCTGGGTTCCCTGTTTCTCCCTGTCTTCTCATTTTGGTTTTGGGCCAGTGTTGCTCTATTGGTCTCATACAATTTGTTGTTCTGAGGAGCACATTCATGTTGTCTGTTTTATAGTCCATTCTGTTATTTCCTGGAAATTGGCCTCTTTAGTTTCAAGTTAGGTTTTCTCAGGGCATTAGTGTCAGGGGTTACTCTAGTCTCTCTCCAATCAGGAAATCTTCTTTGTCTTTCTTTTTTTGCCTTTTAATTTTTTGTATATATATATATTTAACCCATTCTTTCTGGTACCTATTGTGGTCTTGGTGATAGTGGTCGGTAGTGGTAGCTGGACACTGTCTACTACTTCTGGTCTCAAGTTAGAGGAGGCTGTGGTTCACATGGCCCATTATTCCTCTGGACTAATTGCTTCCTTGAGTGTTCCTTTCTCTTTGGGCTATGTTCCAGGTGAAAAGAGACCAATAGTTGCTTCTTAGATAGCTGCTCCAAAGCTTGTCATCTTTTGATGATAAGATTATAGAGAATTACTATTTTCTTCATTTACCTACCTATAATCCTAATATTTTCTGTAATGATTATGTATGAATTTGTGCAGTTTAAAAAGAAACTTCTTAAGAAAGGAATATTAAAGTATATAAATGACAGTAGTTTTACTGTAGCAAGCAAAGAAATGTCACACATAAACTTAAGAGAAACAATAAGGCAGACAAAGTGAATGTCATGATGTTTCGTTCACTTTCCTACTTGTATGCCTCCATAACGTGCCTTCATAACATGAATACCATTCTCAAGCTGTGCTGATAACATACCACAAGGGTGAGTAATGATTTCATTTTTAGGAAATTTTACAAAATTGATAACAGAGAATTGAAAACATAAACACCAAGTAACTTGTGTGAAGTCCTCACCTTCAATTTAAGGTGTTTGGGGACTGAAAAAAGGTCATTTCACAGTGCACCAGCCTCTCCTGATCATACAAGGCCCCCTTCTCAGCCTGGGCCACAAGGCCAGCCACTCAAGGCTACGCTTCTTGCCTCTGTATGCGCACTGTGCCAAATCCCAACTCTGCATCTTGGTGTTTTGCAACTCCTGCCTCCATGCTTCATTCCCGTGGGTCCACACGTACTGGGAACGGTTGATATATTATTTTATCCCTCAATTTTAGATTCTCTTATACTTTTGTTTTCCAATTAGATGATAAACTCTTGTTATCAGTGATTGCTAAGCAGAAGGCTGGCGTTTCAAACCCACCAGCCGCTCCTCAGAAGGAAGATTGGGCAATCTACTTCTGTAGTGAAGTGATACTGCCTCTGAAACCCAAGGAGGGGTCGCTATGAGTCAGATCTGACTGGATGGCAGTGAGTTTGGCTTTTTTTTGGTATGATATATTGTTGGTGCACAATCCTACAGCATCAAATCCAGTGCTGACCATATAGTAGTGAGTGTTCAATAAACATCAGGATTTTGATTGAATGTGAGACAATGTGACCTAACAGCAAAGAAATATATTACAGCATAGGAACTTTTGCTCTTGTTGATTCTGGTTCCAAAGCCTTGGTAAAAAAGACTGTTCAAGAAGGAGCAAAGTGGAAGTCTTCTGTATTGGCAAAAAACAAAGGGAATGGAAAGAATAGTACTAGAAAGGAGACCTCAGAGTCAGAAAATGACATTGCTTCTAATACATGGCAGTTGGGGCATAAGATGAACTTCATGTTGTTAAACACACTGATGTGTGGGAAACACTTGGCCCAGCACCTGGCACATAGAAGAGCAATATTAATTTTACTTATCAATATTCCTTGGTCCTTCCTGATTCTCCCTTTGGGCTTCTGGTGTCTAATCCGCCTAAACTTCTGACTTTTGTTTGGTTGTCTGGTGTTATGGATTGAATTGTATCCCTCAAAATATGTATTGACTTCCTGGCCCTTGTATTTGTGGGTGTGATCCTACTGGGAAATACGATGTTCTTGTGTTATGCTAATGATATCATACTAGTGTAAAGTGGATTCTAAATATAGTTCCTCTTAAGTTATAAAAAGACCAGAATAGATACAGAAACACAGACAGGGGGAAGATAGATGCCAAGGAATGCCAAGGAAAAAGAAAGAACTCCAAAGAACTTCTGAGGCCACAGACAAAGAAGGACCTCCCCCTAGAACCATACCCTGTTTGTGGACTTCTAACCTCCTGAACTGTGAGAAAATAAATTTCTGGTATAATTTGTTATGGCAGCACTAAGACACCTGGCTTCTTCAACTTTCTTACTTTTTTTTTTTAAGAAAAATATCTTTTTAAAATTAATGGAATATTTATATATATGGCTTAAAGAAAATACAGATAGCAAAAGAAAACCAAAATCAAGGAAATACATTCCTCTAACACTGCTAACAGGTTGGTTGGCAGGTATTTTCTTCCAGGTGTTCTTCTCTGTAAACATACATATACATATAAACTACATACTTATTAAAATGGCACAATTATAATTTTTTTTAACTTATTATACTGTAAGTATATACACCTACAATAGAAGTTGTGATTGAGTAGAGTAAGAGTGAATTCAGAGGCTGGCTCTGCCATCTGCTAGTGTGTGACTTTGGAGAAGTTATTCAGGTGCTCAGTGTCTCAGTAAAATGTGGATAACATGAATACCATTCTCAAAAGTTCATTGTCAAGTTTAAATAAGATAAACCAAGCATTATGCCTGTCACATAATAAGCACCAAATAAGTGCTGGTTATTGTTACTTTATCATTTTCATGACTCTATAATAAAACCCTCTATGGATATGACTCAATACATTTAACAGCTTCCAATTAGTGGCTCATTTAAGTACATTCTAGATTTTCACTGTTACCAGAAATATTGCAATATGCATCATTGTCCATACATTTTTCTACATTCATTGCAGTCAATGTCATGAGACAAAATGTGTATGAACTGCTGTATGGAACATGAATTTGCTCTGTACACTTTCACCCAAATCACAATAAAAATTAAAAAGAGAAAAAAAGATATGTTGAAGATTTAACTCCTGGTACCTGTGAATATAAGGAACTCTGGTGGCATAGTGAATAAAGCATTTGGCTGCTAACCAGCAGGTCAGCGGTTTGCACCTATCAGCTACTCCACAAAGAAAAAGATGAGGTAAATCTACTTCTGTAAAGATTTACAGCCTTAGAAACCCATTGGGGGTCACTATGAGTCAAAAAGACTCAACGACCGTGGGTTTGATTTTGTTTGGTTTATCTGTGAATATGATCTTGTTTGGAGATAGGGTCTTTGATGATACCCGTTAAATTAACATGTGGTCATATGATAGTAGAGTGGGACCTAATCCCATCTGAGCGCTGTCCTAAAAGAAAACAGACACTGACAAACAGTCAGAAGAAAGACAGCCATGTGAAAACATGTTAATAATCCAAGGAATATCAAGAAATGCCTGGGGAGGAAAAAAAAAAAAAAAGCTGGAAGAGACAAAGAGTGGTGATTGTCCCCTAGAGTGTACAGAGAGCATGGCTCAGCCAAGACGTTGATTTAGACTTCTAGCCTTCGGAACTGTGAGATGATGTATTTCTGTTCTTTAAAGCCATCCACTGCAGAACTTTGTTACAGCAACTCCAAAAAACTAAAACACATCCCTTTCTTCACTTGCTGCTGTGCTGACTCACAGACTCCATATGGCAGAGCAGAGCTGCCCGTTGGGTTTTCTTGGCTGTAACTTTACAAAAGCCAATTCTTTCTCCTATGGCCACTATCAATCAGTAAGTCAAACTTTTGGTTAGTAGATGAGCACTTAACTGTTATGTCACCAGCTCTCCTGCTTTCTTTACTATCCCCTGGGGGGGAAAAGTCAACAACAAAAAAATAAACCTATTGCCTTCAAGTTGATTCCAACTCACAGTGATCCTATAGGACAGAGCAGAACTGTCCCATAGAGTTTCCAAGACTTGTAAATCTTACAGAAGCAGACTGCCATATCTTTCTCCCATGGGGCGTCTTGTAGGTTTGAACTGCTGACCTTTTGGTTAGCAGCTATACACTTAACCACTTTGCCACTGTGCCCCTTCTTTTCTTTACTTGTCCACTCTAGTACTGAACTATTTTACCTAATTTTGCAATCCACTGATATCTCCTAAACTGACCTCTCAGCTCAGCTCTACCCAACAGCATCTCCACTGCCACTCACCAAGTTATGATCCTCGATATATCTTACCTGTTGTTGTTGTTGTTATGTGCCGTCGAGTCGGCCCCGACTCATAGCGACCCCTCCTTGGGTTTCCGAGGCAGTATCACTACGGAAGTAGGATTGCCCAACCTTCCTTCCGAGGAGTGGCCGGTGGGTTTGAACCGCCAGCCCTCTGGTTAGCAGTCAAGTGCTTTAGCCACTATGCTACCAGAGCTCCTATATCTTACCTAGGTTACTACAACTATTTACTGGACTTCTCTGTCTTTACTTTCCCTACCTAGTCAATCTTCATCCTGCTCTGATGGTGTAGTGCCTAAGGCATTTGACGGTTGGCAGTTCAAACCCACCAGCCACTCCATGGAAAGAAGGCTGAGCAATCTACTTCCATAAAAATTTACCGCCTTGGAAACCCAAAGGGGGTTGCTAAGTGTTGGAATTGACTTGATGGCAGTGAGTTTGGTTTTTTTCTTGCTATAATTTTATAGCACAGAGGTCTGCCTTTGGCAACTGACTTCTTAAACAAACCAGGAAAAAAAATTCCCTACTATATCCATGAAAGCTTTTCCTCTCTGGTCTCAATCTTTCTTTCTTTACAGATACGTGTTCCTCATTTTATCTCGCACATCGCATACCACTCTAGCACTTGAGATTACCTACGCTTTCTAGAAAATATATCCAGTTTCCTGGTGGTGCTGAACTTTTCTTCTTGCTGCTAACTCTTACTGGAATGTTTTTCTTCCCTGCTATTTTCCTGATAAAATTCTGCTTGTACTTCCAGTCCCAGATCCAGTGTGATCCCCTCACCCCTCACCTCTATCCACACTTTGCTGGAGAACAGCTATCTCTCCCTGATCCATGCTGCCATTCCCATTTTGCTCATACTACTACTCCAGTCCTGATCACGTTGTTTTACTGTCTAGATTATGATCTTCTGAAGGACAGGGTTGTGTCTTATTCAATTTTGTCAATCCTATTTCCTAGAAATAATAATTTATTAAAAAAATATTTGCTGAGTTGAATTCTCGCCTCTTTCTTATCCCTAGTTTGGTAACTATAAAACCCCCACAACTTTCTTCCATCAAGTAATTCTGACTCATTGTGACCCCCACTGGGTTTCCAAGGCTGTTATCTTTATGGAAGCAGGCTGCCTCATCTTTTTCCTGCAGAGTGGCTGGTGGGTTTAAACCACCAATGCCTTAACCACACCACCACCAGAGCTCCTTTCTAGCAACTATGTTGTTGTTGTTATGTGCCTTCAAGTCAAACCCGACTCATAGCGACCCCTCCTTGGGTTTTCGAGGCAGTATCACTACGGAAGTAGGATTGCCCAACCTTCCTTCCGAGGAGTGGCTGGTGGGTTTGAACCGCCAGCCGTCTGGTTAGCAGGCAAGTGTCTTAGCCGCTATGCTACCAGAGCTCCTTTTCTAGCAACTATAAGGAGGTAGAAATGAACGATCAAAATGGAAAAATAATCTTTGCAAAGTTAAGACAATATCTGTTCTATGTGAATTGGCAAATATTTGTGCTGAGAGGAATTATATTAAATTGTACCAAGAAAAGTAAAACAAATGTGTGTTTTCATGTAAGGAACCTAAGTATGTAAATGCTGATAATTTTGCCTTTGATACTAGAATATTTTTTCCCACAGACATGGAAAAAATTTACATGGACTTCAAAAAAATTCTATATCCAGATGAACCAAAATACTTTCTTGGTAAAACCTTAGAATAGGTGGGGGAGATTAATTCCCTTCTCTTCAGGTTTCTATACAGAACAATGTCCTCAGAGAACATTTTCAGCTTAGTCACTCCAGAAGAGTGACTTATCTGATTGCCGAGTATGGGAAAGTACACTGTTCGTGGCTTCTTTCTGTCTCCTGGAGAGAAGCATATACTGCCTCGTACTTTAAACCATGCTCCTCAGAGGGGAGAAGACTGTATTTGATTGGCTGGTATAAGAAGGTTATGTTTATATAATTTAAGGGTGATGTTTTAGCAAAGGACTGGGCTACAGCCCTAGGCCACATTCTTCAAATAGTTTATAATTTCCATGTATTTGACTCCTATGTCTATCTCTCAGCTGGTTCCTAACTGGGCATCGGAATGCCAATATCTGGAAATAATGTAATTCAACAACTTCATTTAATAAACATGCATTGAGGGGCGATGATATGAAAACCATTGTGCAAGAAATGGAGTGTATGAAGGTGAGATGAGAGATTAAAAAAGTACAATGGAACCACTTGTAAACACAAACCCCAAAGTACCATGTCTCTTTCTGACTTACCTTTCCTAAATACCAGGTTCCTATTAGAAGTGAGGGCACAGATGGTGTGTTTTTGATCAGAGTCTTCTCTGGCTGCATTATTTTTCATTTCGCTGAATGATGTTTTCCAAGCAATTTTATTAATTTCACTCTCACTCACATATATACCAAGGAAAGCAGTTATTTTCTTTATGCTTTTAGAAAGATCCTGGGCAACATACAAATAAATAAATAACAAATAGTACAATCCTTATCAAGACTACAAATTCATTCTTTAAAATCTGAAAAGAAGAACTCATTGATTGATTGGTTGCCTTACTGCTTTAATATAATGTGATTTAAATTCCAATTGTTGAAAAGTTAAGGACTTACTTTCTTCATTTCTTCATAGAACATAATGAGAATGTTTTTATCATTTTTGTGCTCTTCCCAGCTTAACAAATGATCAAACCAGGATCCATATACAACTGAAGAAAAATGAATTGTTGAGTTAATATGCAGCCCTCAGTTGTTCTCACATTAGTTAAGTATTCAATGTCAGGCACATGCCTATTAAACTCTGGAGTAAAAGAGTTTTTTGGGTTTTTTAAGCACTTGATTTTATAATTGTTTCAATGAAATAGAATACTGCGATATGAATGAGGATGGTAACATTTCTTAATAAGGTTACTACAGATTTTTTTTATTTTAGTAAATATTCTTTTACATCAGGAGAACTGGCAGCAAAATTAGAGAGTCCATGCCTTCCCAGTGATTGTGTTCTAATGACTACTTTCATGGCAAGCTCACATGTGCAGTGTAGAACTACACTCCAGAGGGTCTTCAAGGCTGTGATGTTTTGGAAGCACATTGCCAGGCTTTCTTCCAAGACATCTCTATGTGGGTTCAAACCACCAACCTTTTGATTAGCCATGAGTCAGAATTGACTAATGCCAACTTGTTTAATTTTTAGTTTTTTATTTGATAATTACTCTCAATCTTGGAAGAGAAAAGGAAATACCAAAGATATATCATTGCCATGATTTTCATTATTATAGGTTCTTACTATAAAAGGTTATGAACTTCTGCAAAAAAAAAAAAAAAAATCATTCTACTCACTTATCTTTCACTTTGTCAAGGCTGAAAAATAAAACCTTATGGATTTTTCTATTGGTAATTATTACTATCCTTAAAACGACAGCTATAAAAAACCTCCAGGACCAAAAGTAAAATATTGTTATCCAAATAACCAATATAGCAGTGATGATTAAAAACACAAAGTGATCAACTTCCTCTTGACACAACAGGAAGTCAACTTGAAAATCTAAATCATAAAGCATAGTAATTTAAAATACTACATATACATTAGGAGCTCTGGTAGCACAGTAAGGAACTTGACTACTAACCAGAAGGCTGGTGGTTCAAACCCACCAGCCACACCTGGAAGGAAGGTTGGGCAATCTAGTTCCCTAGTGATACCACCTCGGAAATCCAAGGAGGTATCCAAGAAAACCCAAGCAGGGGTTGCTATGAGTTGTGTCCGACTAGACAGCACATAACAACAACATCAACAACATATACATTGTTCTGTATGTGTCTTATCACACAAAGCCTGAACTCTAGCTAGTGTTCCAATCATAAAGAGTTACTCTGCTAGCAATTTCTCAAAGAATGGCTGACCATGTATTCATTTAATAGACATATTTTAAGCTATTAGTGTCTGCCAAACATTGTACTTGACATTTTGAATATTACAATTCTGAATAAATTGAAATATAATTACCTCCAAACTAACTACAATTTTTTATGACCTGAGCTTTTGAAGACACAAAGGACAAGAAATAACTATAATGTATTTTTTGAATAAGAATTTCAGGGACTTCAGTGGTATCATAAAGAGTCAACCCAGTTTTCTAGTCTATGGATACACAGGGTTGTATCAAAAGAATCCATTTGTAGAAGAACCATCCTAACAATATCTTCATTATCAGAAATCTAACTGCTATTTCAGTGACTTAAATAATACTTTATCTTAGAATTACCTGAATTACCACTACAGTGATAAGGAGTTTATATTCTGAGAATGACCATCCTGTTCCCAGGTACAAAAACAAAGAAGGGAAACTGGCTCTCCTTCACACAAATTAAAGATGGAAACTAGTCACTAGTGTCCAAAACCATGCCCACAGTGGTAACCAGCTCCCTCATTTTCCACCAGCAGCCACAGCCCAGTCATTGTGGATGATGTCACTGTCTAGAGATGCTGATGCTTGGAAAATCTTGCACTGTTAGGGGAGCTCCTCCATCTGTGGCTAAGAGGCTGGGTAGGCATAGAGACCCAGTGTTACACTCCATGGTTAGGTGTAATTGACCTTGCTACTAAAGTTTTGCCATAGGAAATTGCATTCCAAAGTGTGTCAAAATGGACTTAAAATGAATTTTGGAGAATAGTCTGTTCATAATTTGAGAACCAACTGTTCTATTGACTAAATAATTTACCCCCACCTTGTTCCAAAAGAATATAAGCCAGTCAAAAGAATTCAAAGAAATAGGCTACTTACGCCTTTGTTACTAACATGTTGTTGTTGTTGTTATGTGCCATCGAGTCAGACCCGACTCATAGTGACCCCTCCTTGGGTTTCCGAGGTGGTATCACTACAGAAGTAGATTGCCCAACCTTTCTTCCAAGGAGTGGCTGGTGGGTTTGAACCACCAGCCTTCTGGTTAGCTAGTAGTTAAGTGCCTTAGGCACTATGCTATCAGAGCTCCCTCTTACTAACATAGGGAAGTCTAATGCATGCAAAAGTCTAAGTCTATACCTTAACTGATATATTAGAACATATTTTGAAAGATTACAAAGGTTTTGAATAAAAAATAACATTCTGGGAATCTCCCCCCCCCCCTTAGGTCTTTAGTAGACCTATGGTTTCAAAGAAAATGTAGCTTTCAAAGTAGAGACTAGAAATCTTCCTTCCATAGTAAATAATTTCTTTCATATCAAGTCACAGAATTTTCTCAGCACCTCTTAGTCTTAACATCTTCTTGGTATGCTTTTCCTCTGCTATCCAAAAATATCCCTTCTTTGGAGATGTCATTGAATAGAAGTTGTTCATTCTGGCCCAGCCCATATGTTTTGGAGGCTAAAGAGTGAGTTATAAATTTCACTGTTTCCTATAAACTTCTAGAACTTCCCCTCCTGTAGAATACAGGGTGTTATTTTTCTTTTTTGGGAAGGGGCCTTGTATCCTTTGAGTCTTTTCTTCCTTCTCTGTCATAAATCAACTTTTCAGTCTCTCTCCTATAGTCACTGAAGTCTCGGTCCTTGCCATCAACTAAAAGGACTTTAATAACTAGCTCCTACAATACCCCAGTCTGACTACTTTGGTCCCTTTTCTGTCTTCACTCCATTCCTCTAGTTCACCACCTCAACAGTTTTCTTGCCAATACTGTCAGTTTCCTTGCCTCTGTATTGCTTATATTTCAATTACCTAACAAACACTAAATATTGAATTAACAATTTACCTTCTTTTCTTCTCTCCCATTGTTGCTGATGGGAGCTAGAGAAATTTACACAATTCTATGTATTTGTGCCACTGCAACCACACTTTTCCAACCTTACGGGCCTTAACTGACTCATTCTGCTTTAGCACATTCTTTTATTCTTCCCTTTTGGTATTTCAAACCTTCCATACTTTATGAAAAAAGATTTCTCTGCCCCTTATGTCCAATTATAATGAGCATCTTCATTTTTAAAAAGCCCTCTGAAGATAGGACAGTTGTATAGAAAAACAAAACTCTGTGGGATAGAGTAGCCTAAGAAAAATGGAATATTAATAGAAGAATGGAGGAGGCCTATAGGAAAAGTGAAAGAATAAAATGCTAAAATACTAGTTTCATAAAAATAGTAATCTAGCAACATATTTCCAGAGCATAATTTATAGTTGTTGTTTCATATAAAAACTTATGACATATTTTTATACTGAGTGAAAAGATAAGAAATTAATTAAATGATGTTATATAAATTTGTGGCTATCAGCATCTCTTTATTGTACTGTCTGTGGCATAACTCATGTCTAGTCTATGGTTTGGAGATGTGTGCATGACATCATGATGACACAGCTGTAAATTAATCTCTCTAGATAAATATCTACTAGCAGTGTTCCCACCCAAATACGAACCTCTTTAAAAGTCTCTATGTCTAGTAGAATAATAGGTGAGTATATTTCTCTAGCATTCTTTAGCCATTACTTAATGTGAAGCTCTAGATAATGCTATAAAGTAAGGGAGCTCTGGTGGCATAATTTTATTTTATATTAGGAGTCTGTACGTGAGAATGGTTAAGCTACTTGTTTAAAGCCACAGAGAGTCAATTATAGTCAAGTCTTGAATCCAGGTCTTCTGCCTCCATAGCCTGCTCTTTCTACTATATCATGTTGTCATTGTAAAGGAAATAATTCTTCCCTCAAAAAGTAATTAAAGACTGTCCCTGAAACACACTTACATATGCATATAGCTCCTCCATCCCCCGCCAACACACACACACAGTAAGAAAAATAACTATAAAGAGTAAAAAGTGAAGCTACTATTTTAGGAAAAAAAACTTTAGTACTATACAGTGACTGATTACCCAAATGTAGTATACTTACAAATAAAATCTCTTTAGAAATAATAATCTATTAATTTACCTAAGGAGGTATAAGAGAATCACCTAGTATATATTTTCAAAATACACTCCCAGATATCCTGCTTCAACTCCTGATGATACAATAGTAACAAATGCAGTTGATCCATGGTGACTAGTTAGAATCTCTGGGTTCTGGCCTTGGCTGGCCATCTTGAGGCTAATTCATAGAAAATCATCCCTAGAACAAGAGCAGTACTAAGTCTGCTCCCCCAGGGGTTAGGCAGACCATAGCTACAGTGTGCTCTGCCTTCTAAACACTGTACAGTAACGGAGATATGGCCAAGATAGAGCTCGGGTGGTGATGGGAGTGGGATGGTGAGTTGCACTGTGTAATAATGGTAGATGAAAGAGGCATTTCCTGTCTTGAGGAAAAGCAGGCTCAAGATCTGTTTTTTAAAAATAATTTATGTATTTAAACTCTGCTTATTCCCAAAATGGAATAGAAGAGAAGTGAGGCATGCCAACTATCTTCAAATATTTAGAAGGTTATCATGTGGAAGAGGAATTAAGTAAAGATCAGGAATAGAATTTGGGGCTGAACATATTATGGCACAGAGGTAAGAGCAAAGATTTTGACACTAACCCTTGAATTTAAATCAGGTCTTCAAACAGGTCCCTTCTGGTTCTACCCCCTGCTGAGACCCTGAGATCTTGTTAAAAATGTAGATTCTGATGCAGTGTATCTGGGGTTAAAAAAAAAAATCAAACCAAATTTACTGCCTTGGAATCGGAATTGATTCTGACGCACAGCAACCCCTCCTTGGGTTTCCGAGGCAGTATCTCTATGGAAGTAGATTGCCCAATCTTCCTTCCAAGGAGTGGCTGGTGGGTTTGAACTGCCAGTCTTCCAGTTAGCAGTCAAATGCCTTAGGCACTACACCAGGTAGAAGCGCATATTCTCAGCAGAAGACAGAACTGGAATGAACATGTTCAAGCCCTAATTTAAATCTTGGCTCTGCACCTTGTTAATTATGTGTCTGTGGACAAGTTACTTGGCCTCCTTGAAGTTCTCATTTTCTTCACCTGTGAAATGAGGACAATGTCTACCTCATGGTGTTTCAGTGAGGATGAAATGAGATAATGTTTTCATAGCACTTAGCTAAGTGACTGTATCACATGGTAAGCACACAGTAAATGGTAAGAACTTTTTCTGAAAAAACAGAACAGCTGAGCAGTTCCAAGATGGATTGTATTGCTTTGAAGGGTGATGAATCTGTGCTGATTAGGGATGATCAGATATCAGGTGGGTAGTTTTGATCAGATAACCTTTAAAGTACCTGCCATTCTTGAATTTTTATGATTCTTCAATTTTATGGCAGAATTTTATGATTCTGCCTTTAGTTAAGAAGGAAAGTAGATTAGAAAGAGGAAGTTAAAAAGTACAAACAGAGCATATTTATTCTATAGGGAATACAGCAAGACAAAGAGTAAACTCTGTTGCTGATGGTTACCAATGTCCTCAGATTAAGGTTGCATTTGTTGTGGTCTTTTTGCAATTATTGTTGTTGTTATTAGCAAATAAAAACCTAATTGCAAATAAAATAATGAAATTAGGAATTAAGAACTTACTTTGCGTTTGGTTGCTAACCAGCAGGTCAGCAGTTCAAACCTACTAGCCTTGCCACAGAAGGAAGATGGGGCAATCTACTTCTGTAAAGATTTACAGCCTCAGAAACCCAATGGGGGTCACTATGAGTCAGAATCCATTCTATGGCAGTGAGTTTGGTTTGGTTTTTGGTTTAAGCCCAATCAAGAGTGACATAGTGGTTAAGTGCTCGACTGTGAAACGTAAGGTCGGTGGTTTGAACCCACCAGCCACTCACGGGAGGAAGATGTGGCAGTCTGCTTTCATAAAGATTTACAGCCTTGGAAACTCCATGGGGCAGTTCTACTCTGTCCGAGTCGACACCATGGCAGTAGGTTGGTGTTTCTTGTTAAACCTAGTAAGAGAGGCTTCTAGGAACACACAATTTCTAACTCATGTCTCTTCTAAATTCTGCATCAGATTGGTATAATATTAAGGTTTAATGAAAAGTTGGGAATTCTGATTTGTGTTGTTTCCCAGTGCTTCAGACATCAGTGAGTCAGGAAGAAAAGAAAAATTTCCAGGGCTTCGAACTGGTTCATTCTTGTTCGACCCTCTGCTGAGAGTTTGCATCTCCACCTCAGATACACTGAAACAGAATCTACATTTTAACAAGATCCCCAAGTGATTTTTAGAGATCCCCAGGTGATTCTTAGTCTAGATAAGATTGAATACATAAGAATACATATGTCTGGGGTGGAAATGCAAATTTTCAACAGAAGGTCAAACAAGATAGATAGGCTCAGGGGCCTGAAAATTTCCAAGGTCTGAATAAGAGCAGGACCGATGTGTACTGATGACTTTTTCAGGATAAATCACTTTCTGTGACTTTTTATAAAACCATGTGTCAACATAGTTTGTTCTATCACGATTTATTTATTTGAGGAACCTGAGGGTTTTTGTGTGTATCTTTTTTGTTTTATTTTCCAGGTGAGTGTAATGCATGTTTCAAGCTACCTGCACAAGTTTTAACTGTACCTCACTGCACTCCAGTCAGCACATAACTATTTTACTGGAAAGCCTAATTACTAACACTATTACCTTCAACCCTCTATGAGAAAAAGGTGCTTGATCAGAATTAATCTGTTTTGAACCCAGTTCAAAGGATAATTGCTAATATATGCTACCCATAGGTGATAAGAAAGACTATGAAGAAGCAAGCGGGAGAACACTTAGAAGAAATAAATGAATTTATTCTGATGTATTTCTGAAAATAGGAAAGATCTATTCAGACTTTTGATTTGAATGCTTTCAATTTAAGGGGAAAAGTTCACTGTATATTATGAATAATAAGCAATGGTATATTTACCATCTCCTCTTAGGAATTTCTCTAAAAACGCAGCCCACGTGTCTATGCAGGGGAGATTAGGGTTATCTCTGTAGTAGTGGTACAAAGAAACAGCTGTATCTTTTGGATTTCTAACAATGTAGATAATCTGTTAAAGACAAAACAGAATTTATCTTGAATGGACATAGCCCCAATACAAAACATTCCTTAAAAGAAAGCAACAACTAGCCTTACCTGTGCAAGCTATGAATTTTTTGACAGCTGATTATTCAACACAGACTTAGGCTAGTGTTTCTCAGCACTTAACGTGCATAAGAAGCACCTGGTTTCAATGTAAATTTTGATTCAGGAGGTCCAGGATGAAGCCCGAAGTTCTGCATTTCTAACAAGGTCCCAGGTGATGCTGATGCTGCCAATCACATTTTTTTTTTTCCTTCTTTTTAAATTTATATACTAAATTTGGTCCTGTTTTTTAGGGGCATACATGGGAAAATCCTATTAATCTATTCTTGTTTATGGGAAAAACAATGTTTTGGAATTTCCTTCTATAACTTAATCCTCAAAAGAGTAGAGAATCTGATACCTTCTGATTTAATCACTAACACTGTAACCCCAATTCAGTAAATATTTAGTACCTACTGTATACCTAGGGGTGCTCTGGTGGCATAGTGCCTAAGGCATTTGACTGTTAACCAGAAGGCTGGCAGTTCAAATCCACCAGCCACTCCTTGGAAGGAAGGTTGGCCAATCTACTTCCATAGAGACACCACCTCGGAAACCCAAGGAGGGGTCGCTATGAATCTGATTCAACTCAACAGCAGTGAGTTTGGTTTTTTGCTTTGGTATACCTGGTAGTGTGCAGTGTTGCAGATCCAAGGCATATAATGATGAACAAGACAAAAATGGTTCCAGACCTCCCTCTTAAAACTTACAGTCAGGTGAGGGAGTAAGATAATTAAACACAGTCTTGATAATATAGTGTTTAAAGAGTTATAATAAAAGTATAAGGTATGGTAGGAGCATATAAGAAAAAAATATTTGAAAAAAAAATTGTACTTTAGATAACTTTTAACACCAGCTTATTATAAAGTACTACATTGCTTTTTATAAAGTTCAACCTAAAGATTAATCTTTAAACAAATGATTTTGGTTTATCTCATAAATTGCAGTTTTCTTACAGAAAAAAAAAAATAAAATTGTACAACTATATTAATATAAAAGTCTTCCACCATGGAAATGATAAAAATGTTCATAAAGACACAGGATGTGATGCTTCCAGAGAAAGGAAAAAAGGAAAGCAAAAGAAAATATACAAAGCAAATTAATTAGTCAGATCAATAGTCAAACTGATGGGCTAATCCAGATCTCCTACACAGTTTCAGAAAATACTGGAGGACAAGAGATGTCAAGACAACATGCAATACAAATACAACATAACCCACCACCTTTTTGTGTTTTTCTGTAGTGTCACTCCTCAGTGTAAGAACCTGGATGTGATGGGAGAATCTCATGGTCAACGTTGCCTGAGTACCAGATGTTCTATTTGTATTTTAATTGACAATCAGGGTGGATATGTTTTACTTAGGGAAGACAGTTTTTGCTGAGTCATTTTTAATATATAACTATCTTTCTGCATTGTGTTCATAGTCCAAATATTGTGTCTAGTCCACATGAGCAGCACCTGCTCTTGTTAAATTGAGAGATGTGTGAAAGGCAAGGCCACATCTTTCTGTGTCAGGAATGACTAGCCACCTTTAACCTCCTTTATTGTCATTATCCCAAGAGAGAACTGTGGAATCACCCAACACATCAGGTTTTCTCTGCTTGCTGAGCTGATCTCAGAATCCCAGGGCTCAGAGAGTACTGTTTTAAAAATCCATTGCTTTAAGCAAAAAGTGATAAGATGGTAGAACGGTAGTCTCAGCCATACAGTTGAAAAGTATTTTTTTTTTTTTTTAGTATAGAGGAGAAGTTCTTAAAACGTTCAGAAAACCCCCCAAATTACATGTCAGTGATTATCTCCTGGGAAAGACAATGCATCCCATTGATACATATTTTGACAGCAAAGGTTAAAAATGTATTCTGAGAAATCAGAAGAAATATTCAGAAAGATTGGGAGATAAGAAGGGAAGTTAGAATAGTACTTTTGGGGGAAATATATATATATATATATGAACCAAAACATCATGATATGAGGTGGAAAGCATAAATTTCATGTCAGAGACTTTGGAAACATAAAGAAGGAGAGAGAGGATAAGGAAGAAAATATAAGAGTAGAGTTAAGAGCTAGTAGGGAAAGATTGGGGGAGTAACTTACTGTCTCACAGGCCCTGCTGGGGCAAGAAGGCAAGTGTAGCCTCTCAGCTCTCAGGTCTAAGCCATCAGTAACAATGGTCATTGTCTTAGGAGACCAGCGGCCATCCATCGCAGAGCTTCAGTTCCTATTAAGGGTCACACCAAAAGGATTGTACCTTAAGGCGGTACCTTCAATGTAATAGGAGCTCTGGTGGCCTAGTGCCTAAGGCATTTGACTGCTAACCAGAAGGCTGGTGGTTCAAACCCACCAGCCACTCCTTAGAAGGAAGGTTGGGCAATCTACTTCCATAGTGATACTGCCTGGGAAACCCAAGGAGGGGTTGCTAGGAGTTGGATCCAAATCGATGGCAGTTGAGTTTCAGTGTGATGGTTAAGAAGCACCCTAACCTTTCTGAGTTTCAGTTTCTCTGCTTATAAAAGAAAGAAAAATACCTACCACTTGTTATGTTGTTGTTGTTGTTGTTATGTGCCGTAGAGTCAGACCCGACTCATAGTGACCCCTCCTTGGGGTTCCAAGGCAGTATCACTACGGAAGTAGATTGCCCCATCTTCCTTCTGAGGAGTGGCTGGTGGGTTTGAACCACCAGCCTTCTGGTTAGCAGTCAAGTGCCTTAGCCACTACACTACCAGAGCTCCCACCACTTGTTATAATGCATGTAAAACACACAACCTAGTCCCTGGTAGCCATTTGTTATGAATGTTACTGCATCACTCAGCATAAGGATTATTGAGTTTACCAGACTCCTTTTCTCTCCCAAATATCTCCCCTACCCCATATGTGTGTGTGTGTGTGTGTCTTAGAGACAACCTGTCTGAAATGAAAATGTTCAGTTCAGTGAAAGTATAGTTATATTAGTACACCTTCTGCTGTTCTGATAGATATGCTCGGGATAAAGGCAAATATCAGTGACATTTTGTCTTTGGTTGACTGTTACCTTTTATTTGGGCAGAGAGTAGGTCATAGACTTAGAATTATAGGAAGATCTACTTTGGTAGGTTTTGTGTTTCTATTTTTAAAATGGGAGCTCTGGTAGCATAGTGCCCAAGGCACTTGACTGCTAACCAGAAGGCTGGCCGTTCAAACCCACCAGCCACTCCTCGGAAGGAAGGTTGGGCAATCTATTTCCATAGTGATACTGCCTCAGAAACCTGAGGGGTCGCTATTAGTTGGGGCCCACTTGATGGCACATAACAACATTTTAAAAATACAACTGACAATGAAAAGCCTTCATTACTAATTACTTGTTATAGGTATCATATATATTTTGCCTTTGCTTTTTAAATATTATTCTTTTAAAAAATTAAAACAAAATTTTAAAATGTTCCTTGTAGGAACATTTTGTTCTGGCAAAATACAGCCATCTGTAAAGAAGATGAAATTCAACTAATGCCATAAAAGAGAAAACCACATGGTCTATTGGTATATTTTCAAGTCTTTTTTTTTGTTTTTTTTGCATGAGTGTGTGTGTACATATAAATTTAATTGAGATTATTCAGTATATATGGATTTAAAAACATTATTTTTACTTAACTTAATGTCATAAGCATTTCTCCATGAATACATAAATTTGAAGGAGATATGTGAATAGAAAAATACTTATTAATTTTAAAAAATAATAATGTATCCCCTTTAAAAATGGCTGAGGTAATTAATCTTACTGTTTTGTATTATAGTTCATTTTGTTCTTATTTTCTTATACCAAAAACCAAACTCACTACCGTCGAATTGGATCCGACTCATAGTGACCCCTCCTTGGGTTTCCAAGGCGGTATCACTATGGAAGTAGATTGCCCAACCTTCCTTCCTAGGAGTGGCTGGTGGATTTGAACCACCAGCCTTCTGGTTAGCAGTCAAATGCCTTCGGCACTACGCCATCAGTGCTCTCGAAAACATGGTAGAGAAAATAACATTATTTTTAAGGCAATTTTTCCTTCTCTAGACATCAATAGTTAAAGTAAAAAGATTAAGACCAGATTCAGAATAGAATAAAACATTGGCTAGTGTAATTAGGGTTGACATGCCAGTGGAATGTTCATATTTTTTTTCAGTACTGAAATATTATTAAAATAATTTTATGATTGGACACTGTGGTAACACTTATACATTCATTTATCTTAATCTGTGCTTCACCTGTGAGATGGATACTACATCTAATGAAGAAATAAAGGCTCAGTGAGGATCAGCAACTTTTCAGGATTACATGGCTTGACTATGACAAAGCAAGAATTCCCACACCTCTGCCCTTAACTTACCTTGCACTGTTTTGTTTTAATTGTCACTGGTAGCATGTCATAGATCAAATGTGTTGGAATAACTCTTCGCTTACAAACCAGTTTTAGCTCTTCAAACTTAGAAATGTCTCCCAATTCAATAGGAGATGTTAGAGTAATTCTTGCATTAGGAATGCTCTCAATGACTTCTGCAATCCAGTGAGTGCCTCCAACCAAAGATAAAATGAAATGCAATTTAATTATATGCCACTCTTGATGAAAAGAATATAGAACATTAACATGAGGTTATAAAAGCAATGAATGCATTATTTTTATTATACTTGCTGCCTCCTGATACCCAGTGAAATCTGTTGAGACATTTCAGACACTAATTCATTTCTAATCACATTTTAAAGAGTATGAAAGTATATGAGAACAATGTGTGCTATTTCTTCTGTTGAAATACTCTTCTCTGCTACAACTTACTCTACAGCATCCTCCAATTCACTAACAAACAGACCTTCCCATATACAATTCTTACTGGTCCTTCAAGCTCATGCAGCCTCCTCTTTCATAAACTGCCTTCTGACTCCCCACCCCAAGGAGCTGCTCTTTCCTACCTACGTCCTCAAAGTGCACTCAGCACCTACCTCTATTAGAATGCACATCAGCGAACAACGGCATTATCACCATTGTTTGTATTCATGACTATCATCCCATTTATTGTTTGAATATAGAGACTAAATGTTACTTTCAGTTGTGTACAAATGCACAGTAGATACGCAAACAAAGCAATTAAGTAATAAACAAATACCACATTCAAACATCATAAAGGGTGCAAGTCAGCTACCATGGGGTCTATATGGATTATCATTTTAAGTTCATATAACATAAATGGTGAATTTGCTTCAATGTTGTAAACAATAGTAACTAACTTTGAGCACAGAAGTAGAAGTTTGGGGGTGATGTATGTTTTATCAGTGTGAAAGTAAAATTCCCTACCATTTAAAGCAAACCTACTCTCCCTTTATCTCATTTTAATTTAATTTCAGTGAGATGCAATATTAGAATACACTTGTACAGAGCTTTATAGTTCAATAAATATCTATAATTTAAACAGTGTTCTCATTTGCATCATGTTTTAATATTAAGACTTCTAGATTACAGTGTTGTAAATATTCATAATCATAGTAGTCATACCAATGTCACTCAAAATAGTAATGATATTTATATTATTTTAATAAAATATATTGATGATATATTTTGATGAAGGAAAGAGAATACAAGCAGTGGCACTGAAGAGGCCCTCTGGCAGTTGGTGTTTTGGCTGCAAAGGCTATAATTTATAGGTACCAATTTGGATAGTTGAAGCCTTGTATATTGTTGTTTATATATGGTATTTTAGCCACCTGCTGGAAAAACCAGAAAGGTATTATAAATTACTTTCTAAAGTAATATATCAATTTAAGGTAAGATATATTTATTTACAGGATCCCTGATGGTGCAATGGTTAAGCACTCAACTGCTAACCCAGCAGGCCCTCATGGGAGAAAGACGTGGAAACCCTATGGGGGAAGTTCTACTCTCTTCTATGTTGTTGTTGTTTGCCATCGAGTCGGACCCAACTCATAGCTACCCCTCCTTGGGTTTTTGAGGCGGTATCTTTATGGAAGTAGATTGCCCAACCTTCCTTCCAAGGAGTAGCTGGTGCGTTTGAACCACCAGCCTTCTGGTTAGCAGTCAAGTGGTTTAGGCACTATGCTACCAGAGCTCCTATAGAGTCACTATGAGTTGGAATTTGACTCAACTGAAGTAGGTTTTGTTTGCATTTATTCACAGAACTGCCTATTGCTTTTCAATTATACCCTGAGGTATTCTTGGGGTAATCTTAATTTCCATTTGCAGCAACATTTTTGAAAATAAAAAGAATATGTATATGGCTTATATTTATTTTTAAAATGTCCTATGGGAAGTGTGGCCCTACATGAACCCTGCATCTTCCAAGAGGGAGGGCCCCTAGCACTGGACTTATGATCCGTTGAGAGTACTACCATACAGACAAACTCAAAGAGAGCTTATCTCCAAGAAGCTGGACTTTTGTTAGCAGGTATATGCCCATCCACATATGTTCACTATCTTGCAAACAGCAACAGGAAGTTGGATCTGGACACCTCTAAAGGTAAGACATGACTAATTTTGATTAGAGAACCCTGATGGCACAATGGTTAAGCCACTTGGCTGCAAAAAATTGGTGCTTTGAACCCATCAGCAACTCTGTGGGAGAAGAGACCTGGTATAAAAAGACTTGATAATCTGCTCCCATAAAGATTATCACCTTGGAAACTCTATGGAGGAGTTCTACTCTGTCCTATGAGTCAGAAATGACTACATGGCACACTACAAAAAATTTTGATTATCTACAGCATTTCATAATTCATAATAATGGTCCCTGCATGAGTTTATACCTATATGTAGGAATAAACTTGAAGTCCCTTTAACAATCAAAGTATTTATGGTTCTTCCCAGCCCTGAAAAAAATAAAACATTAATTTATATATAAATTAATCACTAATTATGATTCAAATAAGTACTATTTATTGTGCTTGATGCAAAGTGTAATGAGAATGCTATAATGTTGAATATTTGATGCTTATTGTATATATAGCAATATCTGTGTGTGTTTATAAATAAAGTGGAAATAAAACCATAATAAAGCTTTAACTTTTCTAACTGAATCTTCTAAGCACATTTTCTGCTCTCCAATTTCAAACGCTTTCATCAAAATATCTAGGCTACCTTATTATCTGTGGAAAAATTTTGAAAAAATAAATGTTTCATAAAAATTATCATTATTACATTTCTTGTTGTTATTGCATTTCTACATATAAAAATGCATTAAAGTAAACTTTACCAGATTTTGGGTAAGAAACCAGAAACACATCATCTTCTCTTGCATCGAAAGAATCCAGGGAACTTAGAAGTCCTTCTGAAGACAGTGTGGAAAACAGGATCCCCTTGAATTTATGAAGAACACCTGAGTGATTCTGAGATAACATTTTTTTATCAAATGAATTAAGAAGTATTTACTAAACACTGATCTACACAAGGCACAGAGTAAATGCATTCCTTGATCTTCACTTTAGCTCAGTGCCAAAGTAATCTCAGAATTAGTGAGATTTCATCTAAATGAATATATTTATACCTTTTGCAATTCTTCGCAAGAGTAATTATTAAACTGCAACTAAGCCAAAGTCTACTGTGAAATGATATTATCTAAATTTGCTGATAAACAACACATTGTGAAATGTTTCCTTCAGCTTGACACTCAGAATACTTTGCACACAAAAGTCTCAAGCTATCAGAATACAATCATTTTATTAAGGGATGACAATTAATCAAATCCTTTGGCCTTTAATAAAGAAAGGCTTTAGTGATTATGATAGATTACATCCCTGTGGAAATGATTGGAAAAATTAGATTTTTTTTTTTTCTTGAGGAAGTAGCTAGTATCGCTTTTCAGAAGAAAAAGGAGAAATGGAGTAAGCAAATAGAAATACACAATTTCTTATGAATTGGCCAATAAACCTGTGACTAAAGATAAACCTTACAAGAAGTGCTTTAGAAAAGATAACACAGAAAGCAGGAAACCCAAGCAAGCAAAGAGGTATCTTAAGCTTTGACGTACACAGGAAGTTTTTGGTTGAAGTACTTAAACCTCTGTCTTAGTTATTGTTGGCTTTTGTCACTAATTGTTCAATTATATTTTGTCAATAAAATGCTGGGTTAAATTAGATATGACACCAAAGAGCCCAATTACTTCAGGGAATTTACTGAATTTTTTTTTGTTTGCTTATCTAACTCTCTTAAGAAAATGTTCACCAAGAAGGTGGACATTGTATATAAAGTGAAAATGTACATATGTAATATACACATTATATATACATAGTTGCTGTTCAGTGCCATTAAGTCACCTCTGACTCATTGTGACCCCATGTACAACATAAAGATACACTGCCTGGTCCTGAGCCACCTCATAATCCTTGTTATACCTGAGCCCATTGTTGTAGCCACTGTGTCAATCCATCTTGTTGAGGGCCTTCCCCTTTTTCACTGAGCTCTACTTTACCTAGCATGATATCCTTCTCCAGAGACTAGTCCCTTCTGACAACATGAACAAAGTAGGTGAGACGAAGTCTGACCATTCTCACTTCCAAGGAGAATTCCGGCTGCACTTCATTTAGGACAGATTTGTTAGTTTTTCAGGCAGTCCATAGTACTTTCAGTATTCTTCACCAGTACCATAATGCAAAAGCATCAACTCTTCTTCGGTCTTCCTTATTCATTGTCCAGCTTTCACATGCATATGAAGTAATTGAAAATATCATGGGTTGTGTTAGGTGCACCTTAATCGTCAAAGAGACATCTTTACTCTTCAGCACCTTAAAGAGGTCTTTTGCAGCAGATTTGCCCAGTACAATACGTAATCTGATTTTTTGACTGCTGCTTCTATTGGTGTTGATTGTGGATCCAAGTAATATGAAATCTTTGACAAATTCAGTCTTTTCTCCATTTATCATGATGCTTCTTATTGGTCCAGTTGTGAGGATTCTTGTGTTCTTTAAGTTAAGGTGTAATCATACTGCAGACTTGAATCTTCACCAGTAAGTGGTTCAAGTCATCTTCATTTTCAGCAAGCGAGGTTATGTCCTCTGTATATCACAGTTTGTTAATGAGTCTTACTCCAATCCTGATGCTGCATTCTTCTTCATCTAGTCTGGCTTCTCAGATTATTTGCTTAGCATACAGATTGAATAAGTATGATGAGATGATACAACTCTGATGTACACCCCTTCTGATTTTAAACCATGAAGTATCCCTTTGTTCTTTTCAAATGATAGTCTCCTGGTCTATGTAGTGCCTAAGGCATTTGACTGCTAACCAGGAGCCCACCAGCCACTCCCCAGAAGGAAGGTTGGGCAATCTACTTCTGTAGTCAAACCGACTCGGAAACCCAAGGAGGTGTTGCTATGAGTCAGATCTGACTCAACAGCAGTGAGTTTAGTTCTTTTTTTTTTGGTCTACGTACAGGTGCACAGGTTCCTCATCAGCACAATTAAGTGTTCTGGAATTCCTATTCTTCTCAGTGTTATCCACAAGTGTAATCCACACAATCAAATGCTTTTGCATAGTCAATCAAACACAAGTAAATATGTTCTGATATTCTTTGTTTTCAGACAAGATCCATCTGACATCAGCAATGATATCCATTGTTCCACGTCCTCTTCTGAATCCAGCTTGCCCTTCCAGAAGTTCCCTGTCAATATACTGCTACAACCATTTTTGAATTATCTTCAGCAAGATTTTACTTTCATGTGATATTAATGATACTGTTTAATAATTTCCACATTCCGTGGGATTGCCTTTCTTTGGAAAGGGTACAAATATGGATCTCTTCCAGTCAGTTGTTCAGGTAGCTGTCTTCCTAATCTCTTGTCATAGCCGAGTGAGTGCCTCCAGTGGGGCATCTCAATGGGTAGTCTGTCAATTCCTGGAGGCTTGTTTTTCGCCAATTCCTTCAGTGCAGATTCAACTTCTTCCTTCAATACCATTGGTTCTTGATCATATGCCATCTCCTGAAATGGATGAATATCGACTAATTCTTTTTGGTACAGTGACTGTGTATTCCTTCCATCTTCTTTTGATGTTTCCTGCCTCATTCATTGTTTTGCCCATAGAATCTTTCAATATTGCAACTCGAAGCTTGAATTTTCTTCAGTTCTTTCAGTTTGAGAAATGCTGAGCATGTTCTTCCCTCTTGGTTTTCTAACTCCAGGTCTCTGCACATTTTGTTATAATAATTGACTTTGTCTTCTCAAGCTGCTTTTTGAAATCTTCTGTTCAGCTCTTTAATTTTGTCATTTCTTCCATTTGCTTTAGCTACTCTCTGTTCAAGGGCAAGTTTTAGAGTCTTTTCTGACATCCAGTTTGGGCTTTTCTTCCTTTCCTGTCTTTTGCTTTCTTCGTGGATGATGATCTTGATGTCATCTCACAATTCATGTGGTTTTTGGTCATTGGTGTTCAATGCGTCAAATCTGTTCTTTAGATGATCTCTGAATTCAGGAAGGATATAATCAAGGTCATATTTTGGCTCTTGTTGACTTGTTTTAAATGTCTTCAGCTTCAACTTGAACTTGCATATGAGCAATTGATGGTCTGTTCCACAGTCAGCTTCTGTCCTTGTTTTGGCTGAAAATATTGAGCTTCTCCATATCCCTTTTTCACAGATGTAGTTGATATGATTTCTGTGTATTACTTCTGGTGAAGTCCATGTGTACAGCTATCATTTTTTTGTTGTTGTTGTTGTTGAAAGAAGGTATTTGCAATGAGTAAGTCATTGGTCTTACAAAATTCTATCATGGGATCTCCAGTGTCATTTCTATCACCAAAGCCATATATTCCAACTACTGGTGATTCTTCTTTGTTGCCAACGTTTGGATTCCACTAACCAATAACAATCAACACATCTTGATTGCATGTTTGGTCAATTTCAGGCTGCAGAAGGTGGTGAAAATCTTCAATTTCCTTGTCTTTGGCTTTGGTGGTTTGTGCATAAATTTGAATAATAGTAGTATTAACTGTTCTTCCTTTTAGGTGTGTGGGTATTATCCTATCAATGACAGCATTATACTTCAGAAAAGATCCTGAAACATTTTTGTGATGATGAATGCCACACCATTCCTCTTTAATTTGTCATTCCCAGAACAGTAGATCATATAATTGTGTGATTCAAAATGGCCAAAACCAGTCCATTTCAGATCACTAATTCCTAGGCTATCTATCTTAATGCATTCCATTTCATTTTTGACAACTTCTAATTTTCCTAGAGTCTTCATACATTCCATGTTCCAATTGTTAATGGATGTTTGCAGCTGTTTCTTCCCATTTTGAGTCGTGTTACATCAGCAAATGGAGGTCTTGAAAGCGTTACTCCATCTACCTCATTAAGGTCAACTCTACTTTGAGGAGGCAGCTCTTCCCTAGTCATATTTTGAGTGCCTTCCAACCTCAGGGGCTCATTTTCCCACACTGTATTGGACAATGTTTCAGGGCTATTCATAAAGGTTTCCAGTAATATATCAAACAGTGTTTCACTTCTATTCATAAGGTTTTCACTGATCAATTCTTTGAGAAGTGGATAACCCCTTCCTTCCCAGTCTGTCTTAGTCTAGAAGATCCCCTGAAACCTGTCCACCATGAGTGACCATGTTGGTATATGAAATACTGGTGGCATAGCCTCCAGTCTCACAGCAACACACAAGACACCACAGTGTGACAAACCAACAGATGAATGGAATACTATTCACCAGTAAAAAGGAATGAAAAATTGATACACATTAACTACAAGAATGGATCTAAAACTAATTGTGCTAGATGAGAAAAAGCCAGACAAGAGTATGATCTTACTTACATAAAGTTCTAAAAAAATGCAAACTATTTAATGACAGAATGCAAGTCAGTGGTTACTTGAGCCTAAGGAAGGAAGTGGAGACAGGAGAGAGAAAGGCAAAAGGGCAGGAGGAAACTTGTGTGTGTTAATGATATGCTCATTGTGTTGATTGTGCTGATGGTTTTACAGGTGTGTTACAGATTTCACAGATATATTCCATTTTGGGAGCTCTGGTAGTGTAGTGGCTAAGGCACTTGACTGCTAACCAGAAGGCTGGTGGTTCAAACCCACCAGCCGCTCCTCGGAAGGAAGATGGGGCAATCTACTTCCGTAGTGATACTGCCTTGGAAACCCAAGGAGGGGTTGCTATGAGTCGGGTCCGACTCGACAGCACATAACAACAACAACAACATTCCATTTCAAATATGTGCATTACTGTATGTCATTTATACCTTAAAGTTAAAATTATTGAGGAAAATTTAAAATTCTTTTAGGATGCACAGCACTTTCTGCTATTGAATGTGGATGTGTGTTCTATATAACATGGGTCTTAGACATTGTTACTGTAATGATCTGATGAAGATACATGTATCTTTACAAATTTTTAGA